AAAACCTTAACCTTAGGTTTTATCCTTATTTTTTCATTATTACTAAAAAAATGTATTCGTTTTCGTTTTTTTACTTGAAATTATCAGTATGTTGATTAGTATCTTTTTATTTTTTTATTATGTTATTTAGGTACATTTGTTAAATACAAGCTGTTTGAACGTGTTTTAAAAATGATGTAGCTTTTAAACTACATTTAAGAAAATAATCTTTAAATGTAAAGTTTAAAAAATATATTGTACAGCATAATATTAATTTTGTTTATATAATAAGTAGTAAATCAAAAGAATGTACTGTGTAGTGTATACACTAAAAATATCTCATCGATTTCGGGTCATTCTGAACAAAGTCCTATATTTTTAGAGTTTTTTTTAGAGTAATACAATTGGCTACAAAGTGTACCTCACGACTTACACTCTATTTGCGCAGTTGAACGTAATGCAAGATATTAAATTAGTTATATTACTACGCTTCTCCGACACACACTCATCTGCGGTTTATGTTTAGTATACGGTCGCGCTGCCAGTGTATGTTACTCTTGCCTGTTAGAGAATTGAATATGAACACTCCGGCATTCACAGAGCTTTAAGAAAGTGGGGATAAAATTCGTGCGATTTTCACCTGATTTTGCATATACGCCTTTGCAAACGCAGTAAATTTCGAGTGACGTTTTACCATTATTATTTGAGGGAATTTGTTCTTTATACGAAAGTGGGCTTTCTATGTGGAAATGTTAGATGCTTTTCCTAAAACAAACATGCACTTAATCACATAGAACTGGTGATGACAATACATGTAATATTTCCCTCGTTTATATTACTTTTCATCTTTTATTACATTGTTGTCTCTCTACAAATTATACGTTATACTAAAATTAAAACTGTAAATATTGCTATTTCATTATATGCATCTGCACAAATGAGTTACGGATACGAAAGATCTAAGATAGTTCAAAAATCTTAATTTAATTTATTTGCATAAAAGAATGGTTTTATTCTACTACATAATATTTATTCATTAACTAAATCTTGATAGCTCTACTCGATTTTGTGACTGATGGCTACAATGCAAAATCAAACTAAATCGATTTATAAGTAGTTATCACTTATGTTGGTAATTATCTTCATGCATAAATCTATATATCTCATAAATCTATGTAAGGCTCGCTAACTAAATTTGACGTTTAGTTCCGACTTTTATTAATAGATATAAATTGTACGTTTTATTGTAATAATTTTTATCTTGAACACAGAGTTATGGATGATTCAGTTAAATAATTGAATTATAAATCGATTTATGATTATCGCGCACGGCGAAAAAACCGTATTTACAAAAAGTATTGATTGCAACAGGGTCCAATTGGGGCGATCCTAGAATTGACCATAGAGATCCGCGAGACTTGCGATCTGTAGATCCAAGAGAAATGCGTGACCCTCGGGATCATCGTATGTCATTGGATCCCAGAGATCATATGCGTGTTATGGATCCTATGGCGCGGGATCCGCGAATGACTGATATGCGTGGCGATCCACGTGGAATATCTGGACGATTGCATGGTGCAAATGCGGATGCGATGTGGAATCAACCACCAGGTCCGCCGCATCACCAAATGGGGCATCAACACCCGTCTGGACCACCGGCCAAGATGCTCAATCCTTCGAATATGAATCAATGGGCTGCTCCACCCCCAAAGGACATTATGCCTGGCAAACCTTCTGGTTGGGAGGAGCCGTCACCACCGACACAACGAAGGAATGTGCCCAATTATGACGACGGTACTAGCCTTTGGGGAAATCCAGCTGCTAATCAACGTGCCTTGCAAACCAGTAAGGTATCGCATTGGAAGGATCTTCCTGCACCTAATTTGGCTCGTGGAGGTACGTGTTTGTCCCGAAATCTCGTTGCATCGCAACAATATATATAAAATGCCACTTCTGGTAAAAATTTCACTTAAAACTAGTTTTTGATTTTGTATTGTCAAGATATTAGTATATATTTTTCTTTTAACTAGATCTATGCAATAATAACGCTAATCTTCGCGTTCTTTATCGCAGGTATGCAATGCCCACCAGGAATGCCTCAAAACAGAATGCCAGGGCAACCTGGAATGAAACCTGACGTGGGTGGTCCTATGTGGGGTCATCCTGGAGCTCCTAGTGGACGCAACGGAACTTGGACAGACGCTCCACATGATACCGCTTCATGGGACGATCCTAAAACGCCAGCAACGTGGAACGAGCCTCAGCTAAATCCAGCAGCTTGGGGTGCCCCTACTGCGCACAAACCAAAGCCTATGGGACCTACCGGTAGCTGGGCCGACTCCGATATGGATCCGACTCCTAGCTGGGCGCACACTGCGAAACCTACACTGACGAAAGAGGTGATCTGGAGCAGTCGCGAGTTCCGATATCTTTGCGACTTGGGATTCAAGGTATGGAATCTGAAATTCCCGTCTGTTTCATTACTCATTCGTGTAAACTTGATCGAAAATTATGAGTTATGCTGTCTTTTTAGAAAGAGGATGTGGAACTAGCATTAAGAAACCGAGAAATGAACCGAGAGGAGGCACTGGAACTTCTCAATCAGCTACGTCCTATGGATCAATGGAGACGTCATGACACGCATTCGGGTTACGATCCGACACATCAAGCGACTACTACGCCAGCCTATCCTCGATTCAATCACGTGGCACAGCAGATGTCATTCCCTCCGGTAAGTTTAATGAACGTAATAGAAGAATATATTCACACAAGTACATACATGGAGAGTACATACAGAGTTTTGTTGGAAGCTAATTGTTTTTGCAAATTTGAACAAAATTGAGGTGAACAATATTTTTGGATGTTTATGAAATTAATTTTTTGTTAATAATGTTGACGCAAACAAATGTGCGCTGTGGTTTTCGTGAAATTTGCTTAACAAAATGATGATATTAAGCGAGTGTATAGAAAGTTTCGTGAGCGTTTTATAAGAATTAACATCTAATCTGATGAATTAAACACAACCGTTAAACATAATGCAGATGCGATACAAAGAAAAAGAAATCACTAACAGTTTTCTGTGTGTACTGTAAATGAATCCATAAGTTCCTTGCTTATTTTTTTATACAAACCGTAAATATTTGGAAACTGGGACAACTTGAAAAATACATATCTATGTGTGTGTGTGTTTGTGTGTTTTTGTAAAATACTTTCGATGAATATGAATCCCGTAATAAAATCCAGTTTCTTGTTTATATAATCGATGTTTGGCGGGAGAAGAATGTTTCGTTTCTAACAGAAGATGTATCTGTTAAAATGTCTTATACATATATTCGACTCTTATACTACAAACTCCGCAGAGTGTGCATACTATATTAGTATGGGTGAGAAGGTAGGAAAGGCGCAGGGTACACGCTGTTTGTATTCAATACAGGGCGGAGGAGTGCCCAGTGGGGCAACCAGTGGGGGTGTGGGTGGTTCTGTGACCAGTGCTAGTCTTCTCAAACTTCAACAACAGCAACAACAGCAGACAGCTGTTCCGCTACAGCAACAACAACCAAGTACCAATGCGCCACAACCCCCTTTCAACCAGGTGAACTATCAAGCTCACGCTTGAAAATGTTCAATGTTTTATCATTTGTATATAGGTTCTTTATTATGAAAAAGGTGAAATGAAATCAACACTTATACGCACGAAAAATAAAATACTTCGATAAAGTTACACTTATCGTACACTTCGATAAAGTTACAATGCAAGAATTTAAAGACACGAGCAGCTTAAGGAGTTTTATTTTTTCATGTCCGAGTTAGTAATTTATATAACAAAATATTTGATATATTTGATAAATTTTTGTAGTTATCTATAATATAAATATTACAAAATTCTTTTTATGGAAAATAGCTTGTGATATTTCTCAAATCGTTCGAACATTTGTGACAAAATTGTGTATTTTGCAAAACTATCTAAATTAGGGAGATAGATAAACATTTTTTTAACTTACAGTAACATATACAGAAAGTAATATTATGATAAAAGGTTTGATTGTTACATCAGTCATTGTACTAGATGTTTACAATCATGTAATAAACATCTTTGTGGAATCATAAAAATTATATGGATGTATTAGGAGCTACTGATATCAGTTTTTATAGCTAGGTCATTCAATAATGTGTTTGTATATGTTTAGCACAGTCTGTTTTTTGAGTGCATGAATTTGCGTTGGATTTGAGCAATACAAGTTTTGTGCATGTTAATTTTCTTTTCTTAATGATTTATTACTGACTACTGGCGACTAAAAAAATGTTTTAAGTTAAAGTTATCTTACTTTCAAGTTGTATTTTTGTTTTCTTATATTGACGTCGCTTTATTCTATGTTGATTCTACGGGAAATATTATGTTAAAATATATATATGCAGGATATTTTATTTTAAATAAACCATTCTGTTTCTTGTACTTTAAACATAACTCGACGACGCTAATAAAACTTGACACGTTTAATTTCCAGGCATCTCGCGCATCACAGAATCAGCCAAGTACGCAACAATTGCGTATGCTTGTGCAACAGATTCAACTAGCTGTTCACGAGGGCTACCTGAATCATCAGATCTTGAATCAACCACTGGCACCCCAAACACTGATGTTACTGAATCAGCTTTTGCAACAGATCAAGGTCTTGCAGCAGTTGCACCAACAACATTCTGTGCAAAGCACAATGAAGGGCAACAATCAATCAGTCTTGCAGATCAGCGTTCAGATTACAAAGACCAAACAGCAGATCACGAATTTGCAAAATCAAATTGCAGTGCAACAAGCAACATATATGAAGCAGCAGCAACAGCATCCAGCGCCTCCATCTCAGGCGTCAGAATATTACAAATCCTCTGTGCATGATCCTATGTCAGCTCTGCAGAACAGTTTCAGCGACTTAACAATGAACAAGGAAGCACCGGTGGTGGTATGTATTAATTTTTTATATATATTATTATAGAAACTAAAATATTTATAAACACATACTTATTATTCATATTCTACATACAGGATGAAGCAATAACTATTACTACCTGACACATCTTCAAAGCAAAAAAGCAACAGTGGCTTTTAGATTTTCAAAGCTACTCCACCTAGAGAAAAAACGTAATCGTCAGAAGATACTTTTTTTTCTAAATGGAGTGACTTTGAAGATCTGAATGTCATCTTTGTTTTTTGCTTCGAAAATATTCAAAGTGGTAATTGTTATTGCTTCATCATATATATTTTATATAAATGTGATTTTGTGTGTGTGTGTGTGTGTGTGATGCGCGTTATTTTTTAAAATCACTCATCACATGTGATATCTTGATATAATTATGATTTGCATTTCATTTTTATAGAGTCAACAGCAGTCTCGGTTGAATCAGTGGAAATTACCCTCGCTCGATAAAGATGGCGATTTGGTGTCAAACGAATTCTCCCGTGCCCCTGGAACTACGAGCAAACCACCCACAACTCCTGGCGGCTTGACCCAGTCACACAGCAGTCCGAATATGAATCCTTTGCTAGGTCAAAGTGACGGCACATGGTCTTCGCGACTCGGCGACAGTGGTTGGCCCGATCCGAGTAACAGTGACTCGACCGATGGAAAGGATTGGCAACCGGGTGGTGCTGCATTCACAGACCTTGTGCCAGAATTCGAACCTGGAAAGCCATGGAAGGTAATCCATTTCCAATACCGTCAATTGTTATTTAACTTTTACGAACGTTTGTATTCGTGTAGAGAATTTTTTTGCAACAATATTACTATTCTGCTTCGTTTGTCGTCAGATCAAGTAAATAAATCTCGGTCATACGTAAAATTGTATAAAGCAGCAAGTTAGTACTTAAGTTTGTTCGGATCCACCTATATTTCATTTCATTTTAGGGTACCCAGATGAAAAGCATTGAGGATGATCCTAGCATCACTCCCGGTTCTGTTGTACGTTCTCCGTTATCTTTGGCTACTATCAAGGATCCGGATGCGATCTTTTCGTCGAGCAGCAAGACATCACCACCACCGCAAACAACTAATCCAGACACATCGATCCCAAGTCTAAGCAACTCTACATGGACATTTAATCCACCGGCCACTACACCTAGTGCATTTACCAGGTATTGCTTCAAACCTACAAGAATGTACACGTACTACATTCTTATCCTCAGACATTCAATTAAAAGGACTTGTTGACTTTTCTCAGCTCCAAGAATACATGGGGTGAGTCCGCTCCTCCACCTACTGCTGTGACTTCGGAGCTTTGGGGTGCACCGATGAGCAAAGCACGTGGTCCGCCTCCTGGCTTAGGTAGCAAAGGAACCACAAACACGAGCAACGGATGGGCCGGCTTGGGTAGTGTTAGTAGGTCCTCCAGTTCATGGGGTCTGCAATCTTCCACTGTTAGTAATTCAGGCTGGATGTCCACCTGGCTCTTACTAAAGAATCTAACACCGCAAATTGACGGTTCCACTTTGAAGACGCTGTGCGCGCAACATGGACCGGTTCAAGATTTCCGTTTGTATCAAAATCACGGAATCGCATTGACGAAATATTCCACTCGCGACGAAGCAATCAAGGTAAGCATAGACGTTGAAATTTATTTTGTGGCTTTTCAAGTTTCTCACTTATCGTATATAGTATCGATAACTATATATGATTACGGATACATGATAAGGGATATATGGTTACGAGATATTCTCAATTTTTTACAGGCACAAGGCGCCCTAAACAATTGCGTCCTGGGTAACACAACGATATTTGCCGAGTCGCCAGCAGAGAGCGAAGTGCACACTATTCTGCAGCAACTCGGCCATGGCGGACAACAGCAGGCCGGCGGTTCTGGCGGTGCTGGATGGGGCCTTAGACCAACTAACAAAGCCGGCCCACCGCCCGACACATGGGGTGGTAGCTCCAGTCAGCTCTGGGGTGTCCCGCCCACCAGCAATTCCTTGTGGAGTAACGCGGGAATAGACAACAGCGACCAGCAACGAGCAACTCCTAGTTCTCTCAACTCGTATTTACCCGGAGATCTTCTGGGAGGTGAGTCGATGTAGAGAGCGAGAGGCCATCCGCCCGAAATCTCGTCAAATAGGTGAAAAAAAATCTACTTGTTTGTGACGCAAGCCCAAAGATGCAGCTCGGCTGACGCAAACTTCGTGATCAAATGCGTATTATTCCCCTCTCAATCCCCCCACTCTGCCGCTTATTCCTCTAAGACACAAAGTGCATACCATGTATATGCAAGTATTATTGATTCGTGTCTTTGGATATAGCCGATACAAAGCGTATCTATCTGTCTGTATATATCTAGCGTCGTCGACAGTGAGTGTGCGAGAGAGTAAGAGGGTAAGGGCAGGAGGGAGAGGGAGGGAGAGAGTGACAGAAAGGGTGTGAAAGAGAGAGAAAGCAAAGAGACGGACGAGGTCTTCATGAAACGTCAATTATATTGCTAAGAAATGCAATTACTATAACGAGTTACTTAACAAAAAAAAAAATTACTACCCTCGTATCCGCCTTGAGTAGAACACGCGTAAGCAAAAATCGCAGTGGTGTACAGCCAAATCGTGCGATAGATATCTAATTTTACATGACAAGCTACACGTTTACACATCCACATATATACTATACACAGATACACATACACACGCATACACGCGCAGCACACAAAACTCGTATAGAGGAAAACAGCGGCACTTGCGAGTACGAATTTTGCGGTCGCGTCATTACTTCGAGGAGACTTATGGATTGCGAAAGATCAAGTTGGACCAATTGCAAGAGGTCTCTTCGTCACATTGGTGCGTATACTGCGTGCGATCTGCCACGATATGTAACGACGAATGGCGTTCTCGTCGTTTCAAGCCAACCTAGTAAGCATGTATTTCTAATCTGAAGATAATGTAGAGAAAACAAAAATGAAGAAGAAAAAAAAAACGGGAGGAAGAAAAGGACTATCCGCGCTCTCTGTCGTTTTGCTGTGAAGGGAGGGCGCCTTTCAATGAAGATTTATCGGCCGAGGGTCTCTGATCAGGTCAAAGAGTGTTCCATTTTTGCTGGACAGTTCCGAAGACTGCAGCGAGTATCAAATGTAGACTGTATCAATCTAATCAAAAGAAAGAAACCTTATAAAAACAAGCATTGACGTCGCTGCCTGGTGTTCTGCCCGCGACATCCCCCCTCCCCCCCACCGCACTCTCTGGATCCCCTACATGGAAAGAAGAAGAAACGAGTAATGCAGGGATATCAGATCAACTGGGCAACGACGCAACGATACCAAATGTTATCGCAATAACGTAAATTTTATTCTATATTAAATCTAGATGCCACCTGTCGTGCCAATGTCCAGTGTGTCTCTTTACCATTTATTAACGTAGAGTTTAAATGAGGAAGGAGAAGAAGAGAAAGAAAGAGAGAAGGAGGATGAAGATGAGGAAAGAAGATAAACAAAAGAAGAAAGAGAGAATACGAGAGAAACGGATCGGCGAAATGAATTTCAAGGACGAAGCGTTGAGAAAGACCGAGAGGAGAGTGTTGAGGAAACAGGGCGAACTGGCTGAAGATCGGAAGTTCGCGTTAAAGTAAACACAATGAATACCACGTACTAATTGCTGGTATTAGCATATTACGCTTCTCGTTAGTGATGTTCGAACGAGGAATCACAATGGTCCACGTAAGATCGTAACGCGAGTAATGGCGATGTTACGAATGGCATTTATTGTCGGCACATGGAGTCGAGCGGAGCTCGGTCTCTCTAGGGTGAATTTAAATTAGTTTTTCTCTCAACGTCAAAGGTACCTGAACGGACTGATAACCAAACGACGAACAAGCGAATCGTTATTTACTCATGCACAACAATTTCCTTTTTACTTTCCGCTTCTCCGTGTCAGCGGAGTGTTGGGGAACGTTTCGCGAATCAATCACTGGCGCAACTGCGAACGACGTGAAAGAGACGGCTTTTTCCTTCATGAATGAATTGGGGGAAGAGCGAGAGGAGCAAGAGAGAAATATATATAGATATATATATATATATATATATATATACACACATATATCCGATATATATGTATATGTGAGACAGAATAGATGGGAAGAAATAATTACAAACACACATAAACAACAAACAAACAGACACACAACACACACATACACACACACAAGACGAGCTGTTCACGAGTACAGCGACGCGCGCAATAAGTGAATAATAAGTGAGTGACTACATTACTTGTACACAGACATCATACACATGCAGTTCACACACGTTTGCCACGCATGATTGAACGCATGCTTGTTGCAAATGTCCAACACGCCAAGCTAAGGAAACGTACATAGTAGCATTGGTCGACAATGATTCCGCCGCTTCCATGCGATCGGTCGATCCTCGCGGATGCCGGACCATTACCTTTTGGCGTACCAGTAAATCAAAACCATTGGGAACTTTTTATATCTTTTGCCTTCCAAGAGAGAGAGATCGCTTCGCTAGGAGACATCGTAAAAGGGCCACGTTTTTCGCGAACCACGACCACGGAAAATGCCGGTGCATCGGTTGACGCGCGCGATAGTATCCGCGCGGTTCCGCCGGTCACGTCGCCTCGATTCTGTCGGCCAGTGTTGTTACGTAATGCTTAATTTTAATATTTTCGTAAGGGAGCATAATTTTAGATATTAATAATTAAATGTCGACGCTAATTAGTTGGAGTTAGTCAAGAGGAAGGGCTAAAGAATACGACGATACGATTATGACGACTACTACAAGCTCGCCAGTTGCGAAACAAAAACAAAAAAGTAAAAAAAAAAAGAAGAGGGGGGAGGAAGAAGTAGTGGAAGCGCTGCTTGCAAGAACCGTTCTGTACATAAACGTATCGCATCACCATGATAGGAGACTGTCGCGCCTAATTGAGAAAATGAATTTTCAGTGTTCCAAAGTGAGGCAATTAGAGAGTAGTAAACAGTAAGAATTTGCGAAAGTAAGGTAATGTGATTCCTTATTACGATCTCACGGTCTATCGTGTTTCTTCTTTTAATCATGTTGACGTATATAGAAGACAAATGAGTGACGGGATAAAAATTTTCTCGGCTTTCGTCTGTTATTGCAATTGTTTAGGATTAGGATTATATATGACAAGTCTCCGTGCGGAGACGCGGACAGAATGAAAGTCTTTTCACGCATTTCGAGTGCAAAATCGATTCGTATCGCGAGCCTCCGAGAATCGCGACAGTCTGCTTCCTGGGGCTGCGGTGTACGCATAAATATCTCTATATATTACTATATTATATACATACACAAACAGCGTACCTATGCATATATATACATGTGTATGTATATGTCTCTTTGTATGACAACGCATCCTTGTTTTACTTAACAAAGTATAGAAAAATCAGTGTGCGAAAAATACAGCGCGTGCGCGCGAGAAAGAGAGAGAGACAGAGAGAGAAAGACAGAGAGAAAGTGAGAAAGCGTGAAGCATAGGAGGTATTAACTGTAAGATTAACTATAATATGCTGATAACAATGAAACAACGTTGAGTAATTTATGAGCAACCTATTCCGCAGAAATAATTACTTTGAACTCTAGCGCTTTAAATCATTTACTTTAAACTATTTACTTTAAGATATCGAATGCTGTAATTCGCATTAGAAAGATGGCGCGAAGACGATTCTGATATGTAGATTTTAAGGTAGATCTTAAGTGTCTGAAAACTTAAATGTATTCATCAATAGTGTCAAGAAGAGAAAGAGAGAGAGAGAGAGAGAGAGAGAGAGAGAGAGAGAGA